TAAGAAAAACTCATCGATATATTATAAATAAGAAATATAATAATATAAAATTTTACATTTATTTATAATTAATTTAGATAAAAAATTATAAAAATTGACATTTATGTAAATTATTTTAATTAATCAATTAATTTAAAATCAATTTTTATAATTTTTTATATAAATAATTACAAAAAATTATATATATTATGTTTTTTTTTTTGAATAAGTTGTCAAGAGGTGAACTCAAAACCTACTCATGGGAAGGTGGAATGCACCTTAAGTTGACAGGTTTGGGACCAGGTGGATATTTATTATGTTTTTAACTGCAATAAAAACCTATTAATATATATTATGGGTCATAGACTAGAAACATATTAATTAAAATCTTTGACATCTCGTTGACTCGAACTTTCCTCATTTTGTAATATTAAATTTTGACATCTCGTGCTTGAACCTTCATCCTCATTTTGAGAGACATAAAAGACAAGACAACAGACCAGTGGAACCATTGTAAAATGCTGCACAACATTTTATTTATGGATATCAAATTGAACTAGTGGTTTTAAATTTAACCAATTAAATTGGTTAAATCAAAATCTAAAAATCAAAATGGTTTGATCTCCGGATCAATTTTAAAAACACTGATCCGAAGTGAATACTGTTGAAGCAGTAGACGTTGAATGTCCCCTTGCTGGGACTTCAAACAAAGAAATTATATGCGTAGCACATTGTAACGGCATGTTGTACATGCTCAATCACACTTATTCACAATCCGAACATTATGCGTCCACAGTCATAGTTTGGAACCCGATGAGTATGGAACGTAAGAGATTTCAGCTGACAAGCGGAGGAGGCATCTGGTAGGCTTTTGGGTTTGGCTATGATGCCTCCATTGATGATTACAAGATCATACACGTGTATTATAATGTGCACATTATAGATTTTCAACCTGTATTAGATGTTTACCAATGTAGAAGTATCAACGTGCTGAGGATGAAGACCGGTCAGTGGAACATTTATCGGAACAACTCACTTGATGACATACCCTACGAGTATGACATATCGGGAAAAAACCGTGTGGGAACGGCTGTTAATGGCTGCCTCTATTGGATAGCCGAGAAGTGCAACGGTTCTGTGATTTTATGTTTTGAATTGGAGAGAGATACACTAAGAGAAGAAACTTCTTTTAGGCAGCTGTAATTTATCTGCCGATGGCAATCTGTTAGGAGTTTGGGAAGATTCACTTTGTTTGCTCTGCGATTTTGATTTCATTCATTCTGATATGTGGGTGATGATAGAGGAAAGTCATGGGGTGACAAAAACTAAATCATGGACTAAATTGTTTAAGATTCCAAAGGTTGAAGCAATGTGTATCCACACGGAGCCTGTACACATCCAATACTCAGCTTGAATGGACAACTTCCGATAGAATCAAACAGAAAAAGGATTTTTTCTTTTCAATCCAAAAGACGGATTAGTCAAGAACATTGCAATTCATGGACTTCAATTTACAGACGCTTGGTTCAATGTGATTCCATATGTGGAGAGCTTGGTCTCATTAAATGCATGAGTTTTTGATTATTTAGACACTTAAGATGTAGTAGTAGTATTAGTATTTGATATATCGGATGTTTTTGTTTCTCAGATTAATTAGCTAGTTAATGCAATGTTCTTGTTACTTACTTCCTAATCTAGATGATAATAAAATTATTATTAATTTTTTTGTCTATAGTTTGTGCCCACAGGTTCACTAGGTCTCCCACTGTTCAATAGGATTTGATGCAGTCATCACTTTTTTTTTCTTTTTTACCTATATCATAAGATTATAGATTCAAAATACAATAAATATATTTTTATTATAAATTTTTTTTTAAAAAAAAAGTAAGCTTTAATTTATCAATTATCACTTTTTTTTTTACTTGTGTC